TTAAAATTAATTTTCTTATTTTATAAAAAAATATAATTTTTTAATAGGCAGATGATGTATAGGACTCAACACTTAATTAATATCAAAATGTATTTTAAATATTATTTTGAGATATTTTATTGACTAAAATAATAAATATATGAAAATATAAATATTTTTTTATTTTTTAAAAGAATAACTATAGTAATGCACTCAAATATATAATATTTTAGTATAAAATGACATAAAATTTAAAGAATTAATTCATAATTATTATATTTTATATATTTTTTAAAAATTTATTTTTTAGGTTTAGCTCGAATTTTTGTAGGCCTATTAAGGCCTGACCAAATAAGCTCGAATATTAAAAAATTAAAATTTTTTTAGGCTTGATCTTAAATTTTTTAAATAAATTTGAGTTGATCTATCAAGCTTGATTTAAATTACTGATTTCATCTTCTTGGGTCATTAGTCTAATTGAGTAACTTTCATTTAAGTACTCATACCAACAACTAGACCACTGCTGTTGCTCTTGTTGGTGCTGCAAGAAACACCGTGACTAGATCACCGACAACAGTGCCAGACTATTGTTGCTTAAACAGGAATGGTGCTATCAATTGAAGTTAATAAACTAATATTTTATAAGATAAATATATAATTAATACTCAATTAAATTATGGGTGAGACTTACCCACTTTGTCCTGTTTATAGGGCACTTTTTAAAAGTAAATTTTAGTTTAAAAAGTAAGGGACTTTATAATAATTAATCTAGTTGATTAGTATAAATGTATTTAATCTAGTTGTATCATGATTTAAAATTAAAGATAAAAATAAAAATATATCTTAATTTTTTATAATATTAAGAAAAAATAAATTTTTTTAAGATAAATGAAATGGTTAAAAGTGTTATATAATAAAAATCGGACAAAATATGTATTTAACCTTATATACTTAACATACTTCCATTTAATTAAATCAAAATAAGTATATTTTAATGTATTAATAATATTAATAACAAAAATTATTTATAAAATAAGTAATTTGTAAAAGATCAACATGTGTTAATCTAATTAAAAATAAATATTTTAAATATATAAGTTTATTCTTTTGGATTTTTTTTTTTTTGGGGGGGCTGAAGGAGCTGCTCCTTTTAAGACGTTACATGTAAAAAATAAAAAGGCAAGGAGCGCATGATCACGGAGTGTGTGCGAATGGTAATGAATGGGAGCTTTTCAGATTTGAAATGAACAAGCGTGTGTTAACAGCCAATGAGGATCTTCCACATGTGACTCCGCTCTATGCTAACTGGCTAGTTTCAAATTTCCCCAAACAGATTTTCGCGCATGAGATCCTGCTTATTGTGTCAGCCAAAGCAATCTTCATCACGCAATTTGCTTTTAGTTTTCCTCACTCTACAATTTTCTCACCAACTTTCTCACCTCTTTTTCTTTTTCTTTTTCTTTTTTTTGGCATGTAATATATATATATATATATCTCTCTCTCTCTGTGTGAGGTAGAAAGAGGGGGGAGAGGGGGAAATATCCATGAAAAATTGGTGGGAAAAAGTCAATATTACCTTAACTTGATCAATCATTAAGGTAAGGCATGCATAAGTTTAGAAGGCTAGGCATACCGCACCAGTTAAGAGTTAAAAACCACAAAATTGGAGTACATAGGAAGAGTTATATGGCTGCGAAACAAATTTTTCTTTTGTAAAATATAATGTTTTGTTACTGTTTGTTCTACAGTAAAAATAACAGTAACATTTTTTTTTTTGAAAAACAAAATCAATATGATTAACGTGTAGTGCATCGCACAGGGGCATACTCTAGTTAAGGGTATGTTTGGTTGTATATTTCATTTTTATTTTTAAAAATTGTTTTTAAATATTATTTTTCAAAACAAAAAAATATGTTTGATCTTGCTAGTTTAAAAATAATTTTAGAATTTGAAAAGCAACTAATAGTAATAGCCTTTGACGCCTTATGATAATGGCTTATAATAATGATTGATCAAGATGATTATAATTTTTAATATTCAACTATAATATATTTTAAAAATATGAAAAATAAAATAAAAACAGTTTTAAGATGTTTCTATTTTTTAAAGAGAGACAAAAAATGAGAACGGAAACAATTAAATTTAAAATACTTACCTAAATAAGTTTTTAATTTTTTTTTTTTAAAGATAAAAAACTATTTTTAAAAACAGAAATCACACTCGCCCTAAATTTCTCATCCCCAAAGTTCTATTTAATTTTGAATTGGTTTTTAAGTTAAAAATTTATAAATGGATATTCACGCATCATAAAATTTTTCATTTTATCAATTCTCGATCATTCTATATACTCACACACAGAATAATATTTAGGAGATGAGTTGTTTTATAAAATATGTTATTTTAAAGTAACTGAAAGTAATTTTATCATAATAAAAATCAAATTTTACAATATGTAGAGGTAGGATTGTAATTATTTTGTTTGTTTTTTTTTCAAATCACTCATGAACATTTTTCTATTTGAATTCTTTTTGTTGGGTAGAAAAAATTTAGATAATTTTTGAATTTTAAATTTTATTCCTTTTTCTGTAAAAAAAAATTTGGATAAGTTGAGCTCTTAAGGCTGACTAATGTCGGGGCATTCCTTTATTAGAGAAGCATACAAATCGATCACCTATCAGCTAAATTATCATATCTTGTGAGTTATGCACTATATTTACAGTTTGAAACAATTTTGTTAGCAATTTTATGTTTAAATTAATACTACTACTTGTCTAATTATTTTTTGGATTGTACTAATTGTTTCATTTTCATTTTAATTAATCTTGTTAATCTAATCCGCCTTCTCATCAATGCATTTTATAAAACCCTAAAGAATAAGGAACACCATCATATCTATTTTGACTAGTTTTGGTGCATTGGTGGGGCCTTAGAAAAGAGTTGGCTGAAGTCCAAACCAATTCTGTGAGATGAAAACCCATTAATTAGCCAATTTGCTTTATCAAATGCCAAGTGAAATGCTTCATTTAAGGAACCTACAACCTGTTCTCATTCTACTATCTGAGAAACACGGCTCACCTGCCCAAGCTTATCCACACAATAAGGCTCACCATCGGCTAAACTGATGGCATGAATAGTTACTTGCTTCTTTCAAGCACTAGAATTCAAATATAAAGAGCACATCGCTGCCACCTTCTATAAATAGGCAACAAGCTGGTAAATTAAAATCTCTTGATGCCCTACACAATCAGTCTAATCAATTCAACTTGTCTCGAGCAAAGACTCAATACATTGACCCAATGCGATTCACACTGTTCATCTTGGCTAGGCTCCATAGGCTAGTCTTTAATTACTTCACTTTTACCTCTGTTTGATAGAGAATTGGTTGAACTTGCATTGTTGCAATCATTTGGCCTACTCTTATTTCTCATATCTATTTGACACTTAAGAAAATTATGATAAAGAATCTTGAAACCCACACAATCACTTTATTTAAATTACTCTTTTGAGGATCCATTACTCTGGCATACTTGACAAATCCTTAAGAGGCGTGGCAATCTGAACTTAACTCCCAAAACAAAACCAACCATATCACAAGCAACACTATTCTATTGTAACTTATAAGTAGTGCATCATCTAAGTTATAAATTTTATATTTTTGGACAATATATCACTTTTATTTTTATTTCAATTAATATTGTTAATTTATTAGGTGTTTCTTTATATCACATATCGTATGAAAAATGAGTCACAATATTCATGAACTTGTAACTGATATATAGCGAAAATAAGTGTAAAATTATATTTATGTATTTAATGGCCTACAGTATTTTAGCGAATTATAGCATTAAACCAAGTAATAAAATGGATGAAAATCGGTGTACCCACATGCATGTGATGGAGAAGTACCATTTACGACAAATGTACCTGAGATGAATCCATCATAGTCAACTCATTTGGTCTACTAAACGACATGCTTCTATGTTTAAAACCCTAATAACTTGTTCTCAATCTCATAATCTAACCTGCAAATCACTCTGATATATTACACTATTTCAACCTTAGAACCTTCCAAGCTTCTACCATTATTGTCGTTTCCTATTCTTTTTGTTTCAGCCATGCACTCTTGTCGTTTCCTTTTGGATCTACACTAATGTACTATTCAAGAGTAAAACATACAGTTTTTTTTTAATTTTATTAAAATTTTCTATAATTTTCGTTTTTAGAATTAATATAATTTTTTCTTTTTTATATTATAAAAATTTTCTTTTTAATTTAAAACCCATACAAAAGTTTCGTCAAATAAATATTAAATTACACAAAAAAACTTAAATTACATATGATTAATTGATTATCATTCATTTGTACTCTCTCTATTAATAATATAAGATATTTTTTAAAAATTTAAATGTTAAAAACACAAGATATTTTTAGTATTTTAAGGTGTAATTACTGTAATTTTTTTTAAAATATTTTTAATAAATAAATTATTTTATATTTATTTTAAATTAAAAAAATTTATTAAATAGAGGTAAATATAAAAAAATTATTAATTTGAAGGCACTTTATTGGGGTGTGATTTAGTTAAAAAAAACAGAGAGAATATGTATATACACCCACTTTTTTGAAAGCAATAGAAGCAAGGTCTGTGTATTTAAAAATATTAGCAATGACCTTGATAAATCTATAATTTATTTTCATATAAAAATTTCTTACAATATCCTGAAATAAAAAAATGTTTATATTTTATATGAACATTAAAAATTTAAAAATTTATTTACCATTAGTTTTTACATTAGGAGATTTGAATCTGGGATCTTTATCCATACTTTATCCTACTCCTGATATGTTGGAAATTTATTTTTTTTTTTACAGTTAAAAATATTTTTATCTAAAAAATAAAAATTATACAGTCTTAAAGCATTAACTAAAAAAAAGTTGAGCATTTTATGGTTCACTGTAACAAAACATTATAATATATTTTCCACCTTGCAAGAGCTTCTATATTACCTGGAAATCTTGAGATCTCCACCTCGAAGCTACCACTCTCCTTCCCTTACCCACCTTTTATATATTCAAATTCTCTAACTCTCTCTCACACTGTACCAACTTCGTCTTCTTCTTCTTCAAAATGAGTAGTTCTGCTCTGCAACAAACAAGGCGTAGCCCTCGAACGCTGAGAGATCTTCTCAGGGAGAGTTCAACTTCTTCTCCTTCTCCTTCCATTGATGGGTTCAAACCGCTTCCACGGAATCCTATTCCCTCCACTACCATGCGTAGCCTCATCGAAATGGACCTCAGCTCATCCTCAACCAGGAATTCAAATCGAAGAATTCTGAATTCTCTCCTGAACGCCCTCGTCAAGAGGCTTTCCTCTTTCGCGGAGAAATCCCCTTCGATTTTGCCTCGGAGTCTCTCAAGGAAAAGCAAATCCAAGAATTGGAGGGGAACGACGGAAATCAAAGTCCCCGTCAGAATCAAGGACATCGTGCGGTGGAGATCGTTCGGTGACCTGGAGGAGGATCAACGTCAGCCGTTGGATGTCTCTTCCGCTTCCAGTTCTTGGAGTAGCAGCGAAGGCTCAAGTTGGAGTGACAGTGACTTCTCTTCGTACGACGGTAATTTTGTGGAGTGTTCTCGAAACGACGTCGTGGAGGAGAAAAGATTCTCGCCTCTTGTCGGCGCGGATTCGGTGCATGCGACAACAGGAAATTCAGTTGGGACCAAGGTGAGCAATTATATGGTGCATCGCGTCTCTTAAAAAAATATCGTGTGTCTGCTGTTGAGGTCATCACTCAATTCAACCACATGCTTCTTTTGTTTCTTTTCATTTTGGTCTACAGCTTGCTTCTTTTGTTTTGTTCTGTTTTTCTACGAAGAATAATTTTGAATTAAAATATTTTTAAAAAAATATTTTAAAAATCTCCTGAAAACTTTTTTTAATTTTATACTGTGAAAGAAAAAATATATAGTATGTTTGGAAAAGAGATTCGATACAATAGAAACTTTATATGTATATAGTAATTTTATTTTGTGTAATCTTCAAGTATAAATACATAAATATAGATGAATTTATTTCTAAAAAATATAAAAAATTTAGAATATATGTTATTTTTACTTTGTTTTATGTTAAAATATCTTTAAAATTTTTAATTTAAAAGATCTAAACCTATTAATAAAAAGAAATATTATGTAATACAAAACGAACTTGCGATCTAGGAAATAATTGAGAGGGGAAGCTAATTAGCTATATAATATTGTTTAATTAATGTACGGGAGCAATGAGAAGAGTACTATTTGATTTAGTTTATAATGTTTCATTCAAAAATATTTATGTTTGTCATGTTCTCATATTTAATTTATAACCATGATTACAGAGAGATTTAAGTTTAAGAAGGCAAGAAGAAGAGCAAAGGAGCCCAGTTTCAGTGCTTCAGATTGAGCAGCATGAACTTTGTCCCTTTGATCAAAGTCTTGTCAATGTTCAAAGTAAGTTCCCTCTATATCATTTCATTTAGATCAACTAGTAACATTGATTTGAGAATAATTCTAACAAATACGTTTTGAACAGGGGAAACACAGAAATGTGCGCAAATTATACAAAGGATTAATGATCTTACAACCTTCGACGAAGGCAACGATGACATTGATGAATACGAAGAACCAGATAGAACTGAGAAAATGGCATGGAAATTGCTACATTTTGCCAAATCAAGTGGTTCATTTCAAGGGAGTGAAGCTAATTATTTAAACAAACTATTGTTGGATTTCTTCAAGTATGAAGCAAAGAAAAGGAGAATTGATCAAGAAGACAATGAGTTTGAGTGTGAGATAATGAGAAGAGCACAAGATTGGTTGAATGGGTCATTTGGTGATGATTTAGAAAATAGTGACAAGAATGCTTGTATTAGGGACATGGATAAGAGAGAAAGATGGAACAATTTTGGGGAGCAAAAAGAAGAATTGGCTTCGGAGATTGAGAGTGCTATACTAGATAATTTGATTGTTGAGATCTTCGATGTTTCCTTCTCATATTTTTGAAATTTCAAAAATATCTGTAAAGAAATTAATAAATTAGCAAGAGCATATTTTAAATTTAATGCTCAATATTTGCTCATTTAATATTAAGATAACATTGCTATAATTTAGTTAATTCAATGACAAAATTGTTACGGCAAAGAATATAAAATATTTGATACTTTATGAAAATAGTTCAATAACAAAAATAATAGATCCTAACCCTACAATTATATCATCTTGATCACAATGATAGTGTACTTTACCAGCACACTAATAAATTGGATGAAAAATTTGGGTATCTACATGCATGTGATGGAGAAGTACAGCCTTCATACGACAACTGTATCTCAATTGAATCCCTCATAGTCAACCATTTAGTCTACTAAACGACATACTTCCATGGTTAGGACCCTAACCACATGTTCCCAAGTACCAACCTCATAATTAATTAACTTGCAAGTTACTATTATATTATATTATATTAACCTTGGAACCATCCAAGCTTTCTACCATCTTGTCGTTTTCTTTTGGACCACATTGGTATATTATTCTAGAGTAAATTATATTCATTCTTAAATTCTATTAAAATAGTCTAAACTTTTTTATATTTTTAAAATTGATTAATTTTTTCTTAATCTCTAAATTATAAAATATATTTTTATTTATAAATATCGCTTAAAAATTTTCTAAACCTTGTATAAAATTTAAAAAATTAGTTAAATTTTTTAAAATTACAAAGATTTGCAATGAATTCTTAAAATATATACATTATTTTCGAAAGAAAAAATAATTTTTAATTTTCTCATAAAATTCGTAAAGGCCTATACATCAACAATATGTTTACAGAATTTTTTAGCATTTAAAAATTTATTATATAATTTAATGAAATTTAAAGTATTTTGTGTGTGTGTGTGTGTGTGTTTGTTTGCGGGTCCTTGTGTAAAACTTGAGAAAGCTATGGATCAATCATTACATAAATCAGTTATATTTATCAACACCGTGGGACGAAAGAGCTAATTTACTCCCTTGTCTCTCAAGTTATATAAAATAACTGTCAAAAATTTTATCATCCTAAAATATAAAACAATTTAAAAAAATAATATTTTTTAATATTATCCATTAAATGAAGAAAGAAATGAAATGATATTGTATCATATAATAATTAAGTTTATAGTGATATTTTTAAAAGTTTATAATTTATTTTGAAAAAATTTGTAAATTTTTATTATTACTTTTTTATTGACATTTATAATTTTGTTTCAAATTGTCTTATAATTAGGGATGAGAGAATATTACAATATGACAAACAAGGTTTAAATCCTCATTAAGAATGTTTATATTTATTTTTAGTGTCTGATCATACTTCAAATATAATTGCCTTCAATATAGTAATAAAAAAGAAATCAATTATATTTTCCATAATTAATAAATATATGGATTGTTATTAATTAATCAGCAAACTTATTATTTTTTCTCCCTTGCATGAGCTTTCTATATTAGCCCGGCCGGTTCTCATTCTTCTCTAATTCAGTAATTCTCTTCATCCCTTTATATAGTTTATATAGTTCAAATCGTCTCAGTCATTCTCTTTAACAAAGCATTAAGGTCACTCATCTTTTTCAAAATGAGAGGTTCAACCACTACAACTAAACCTGTAATTTCATAGAGATGAAGAAGAAAAAGAATGAAATTGTAAACAACTTACATATGCAAGAGAAGAAATGACGCCGGAAAAGCTATAAGAAGAAATGACACTAAAAAAGAGATTAGAAGATGAGCAAACAAATGAAAGAAAGACCTCGCACTTATATATAAAGACTAGATTTATAGCCATGTTTATCCAAAAACGTGGCTTGTCTAAAACGTGGCTGATGCCATTATTTTAATAAAAAAAAAAACACTTGTTTATTAATTTTTGAAAATAATTAAATTCAATTGTTTTACTTTTTACTTTATATTGTATAACAACAAAATGAAATACTTTTATTAATGACTGTAAATAATTAAATTGGTCCTAATAACAAAATTATTACATAATTAACTGTATTCTGTTATGCAAATTCATTTTTAAATAAAATTTAAGTGAATGAAATTTATAGGATTAATTTTAAACCATTAATTAATTTAAAAAAATTAAATTGAATTGTTTGTCATAATAATTAAATTAAATTGTTTTATTTTATACTGTATAACAATAAAAATGACATATTTCTATTAATAATTCAGATAAATTATTCTAATAACATAATCCTTATATAATTAATAAATTTTATTGTGCAAATTTATTGTTAAATAAAGTTTATAGTATTAATTTTAAACAAAAAATAATTATATAATGATAATAATAAATTATTATATCACTAATAAATTATTTTTTGTTAAATAAAATTAAGTTTAAGTTAATGAAAGTTATGTTATTAATTTTAATACAAATAATTTATATATATTGGTAAGCTATCATACCCGTAAGGAAAGCATTATTAACTAGAAAATAACTTGATATGAAATTGTTCATCAAAGTTTCAACAAAATTAAACATAAAGCAAAAAAAGAAACAAAAATTCCTTAGTTCATTTCAAATAATAATTTCAAGTAGAAAATTCATCTAAGTGTTTGGGAGAATTGTTCAAATTCATATTTATTTTACTATCTGGACTAGCATTAGAAGATGAATCTTGAAAATAAGAAAACATATAGCATTATAAAATATAGGATGAAAAAAGTATAAATGAAAACAAGTTAAGCGTACTTACTGAATTAAAGTGTCACACTTGGCATTTCACTTCCATCAATTTATCATTATTCTTTCTTTCATTTTCTTTTGCATGGCCAGAAATTGTTCTTCCCTTTCTCTTTTTAAAGCCATCATTTCTCTTTCCAGAGCCAACTCTTCTTGCAATATCTTGTTTTGCTCCTCCACTTATAACACCCTATTTTTTCATTTGATCAAGTTCATTTTTTATAAAAATGACTTGATCTACCTTGACTTAAACGAGAACGTCAGAATACATGTGTCGGTGTTGGACCTAATCTTAATCCCCTCACACATCCATAGTGATTTGGGCCTAAAGCTTGCACTAAAATATTATTACCAACACTAGAATTTGATAAATGTTGACTTTCATATTCCTTGACTTTTTCCTATTTTAAAAAATTAAAAAGAGAAATTAGAAAAAAATTTGAATTGTTAATTTAATTTCAATTAAAATTTTAGAAAATAAATTATTATCTTACAATCTTACACAGCTGTTTCTTCATTGTAGGGATTGCCCTTTTTATTTAAATGAGTTGCTTCATAAAGCTTATAAAAGTTCACTTATTGTCTATCTTCTTTTCATCAACATGCCACCTCATATGCTTTGCAATTTTAGCAGACATAAATAGTCATTGCAATCATGGCTTCAATAGAAAGTATTTCAAAATTTTATACAGTTTTTTCATTTTGGATATCAATTTCTATCTTGATGTATTGCATGTTTTATAGGTTTCTCTTTTATCATCTTCCCCCCAATATAACATACAATTGTTTGGGCAAACATCAATTTTTTTATATTCCAATCCTAACTTAGTAATAGTTTTTTTGGTTCATAAAATAAAAAAAAAATTTTACCAAATGGAAAGGCATCTACTAATAAGTTTAGAATTATAGATAACGCTTTGTTGCTTATACCACACAAGCATTTAATATAGTATAATCTAATTAAGAATGATATTTTAAATATTTCTCATACTCATCATAAATTGCTCTTGCCTATCTTGCACCAATTCGAAAAATTCTTTGGTCTCTTCATTCATCCTCTGATTTTGATTTTGTGATGAATCCTTAATTTGAATTGAAATTTCATTTCCTTTTTGCACCCCAAAAGCATCACAAACTAATTTATGAATATGATCACTAACCTCGTCCCTTAATTTATTTCCTACATTAACTAGGCCATTGGAAGAAGTTGCTCTAAATTCATGTTTTTCACTAGGTAAAACCCAACATATATATCTAGGAGAAAATGGTTTAGCAATTAAGTTGTTCTAAACTTCCTCTTAAACATTCCATTTTATAAAATTACATTTAGGGCAAGGACAAATTATCTTACTCTCATCACCACTATTAGTAAAAGCACAATTTAAAAATCCTTCCAGACGATTCATATATTCTCTTGTGTTGTGAAATTTAGATATTCATGATTTATCTATTTTTTGTATAAAATAAAAGAATATTTACAATTTATATATTTAAGCATAAAATTTAAACATATTTTTTATTATTTAAATAAATATAAAAAATGTAAATAAAAATCTCAACATTCACAGCATAAATTTAAGTCGAGAAAATAAATTTAATTTAAACATTAATTTAACATTTAAATTATTCTATATATAGAATAAAAATTTGTAATAAAAACTTAAATCTAATAAAATACTACTACATAAATTCTTGTCATATTTCATACTAAAAGATTAAAAAATTTTCATTTTTAATTTATCAAATGCATATTAAAAAATAAAATAATAAATGTTATACATGATATTTTATATAATTAAAAATAACATTAAATTAAAAAATAAATTATCTCAAGTGTCCAATGAAATGCCAAATTTGTAGTGTGTTAGAGAATTTTTTTAAATCCCTGAAAATATATAAAAAAATATATTGAACATAAAAACATACTTAAAATAAATAAAAAATAAAGGAAACACAAGCAGCATGTACTTGAAGATGTTTGAGCATGAAAGTGAAAATTAAAGTGAAGGGAACAGGGTTTATATAATATTGGCATTGAACTGTGGCTCATTGAGCCATGAATTTGTCAGAAAAACCGCGTTTGCCAGAACCATGGCTCGGTGACCACAACTGTGTTAGAAACCGGCCGTGGCTTGATTTCTGATAAAACCGTGGTCAACTACGGTTTTGCTAGAAATCGTGTCTCACTAAGCCACGATTGTTGCAAAAACCATAGCTTTAATTTGTTTCAAGAGGGGAAAAAAAAAAATTATTGCGGCATTTTTTCTCTTTTTATAAAAATGTGGGATTAACCACGGTTTAAGAAAAAGTATTTTTTTG